GGGCCACCCTTAGCAGCAAGAACTGCAATCAAGCATTTGCGATAACTTGCAATGAGTCTGTTACAGCACTGTGCAGGGATTTTTGTCCACTCATCTTTGCAGAATTGTTGTAATTCAGCCACATTGGAAGGTTTTCGAGTATGAACCACCTTTTTAAGGTCATGCCACAGCATCTCAATAGGATTCAGGTCAGGATTTTGACTAGGCCACTCCAAAGTCTTCATTTTGTTTTTCTTCAGCCATTCAGAGGTGGACTTGCTGGTGTGTTTTGGACCATTGTCCTGCTGCAGAACCCAAGTTCGCTTCAGCTTGAGGTCATGAACAGAGGGCCGCACATTATCCTTCAGGATTTTTTGGTAGACAGCAGAATTCATGGTTCCATTTATCCAGGTCCAGAAGCAGCAAAACAGCCCCAGACCGTCACACTACCACCACCATATTTTACTGTTGGTATGATGTTCTTTTTCTGAAATGCGGTGTTACTTTTACGCCAGATGTAATGGGACACACACCTTCCAAAAAGTTCAACTTTTGTCTCGTCAGTCCACAGAGTATTTTCCCAAAAGTCTTGGGGATCATCAAGATGTTTTCTGGTATAACGGAGACGAGCTTTATGTTCTTTTTGTCAGCAGTGGTTTTTGTCTTGGAACTCTGCCATGCAGGCCACTTTTGCCCAGTCTCTTTCTTATGGTGGAGTCATGAACACTGACCTGAGGCAAGTGAGGCCTGCAATTCTTTGGATGTAGTTGTGGGGTTTTTTGTGACCTCTTGGATGAGTCGTCGCTGCGCTCTTGGGGTAATTTTGGTTGGCCGCCCACTCCTGGGCGGCCAACTGTTCCACTGTCCACTGTCAACTGTTCCAATGTCACCACTGTTCCATGTTTTCGCCATTTGTGGATAATGGCTCTCACTGTGGTTCGCTGAATTCCCAAAGCTTTAGAAATGGCTTTCATAACCTTTTCCAGACTGATAGATTTCAATTACTTTCTTACTCATTCATTCCTGGATTTCTTTGGATCTCGGCATGATGTGTAGCTTTTGAGGATCTTTTGGTCTACTTCACTTTGTCAGTCAAGTCTTATTTAAGTGATTTCTTGATTGCGAACAGGTGTGGCAGTAATCTCTCCAAATAAAAGTGAATTAACAGAAAATATTTCATATATTATATAGCATTACTCTTAAAAGATAAGTGCACCTTACCAGCTTTAAAAAAACTGACATTTCCCCCCACCTGAGCGTTCTGATTACCTCTTTACATAGAAACCACTTTTTACATGGCCCATTCTGCTCAGTTGGGTTTTGAACTCCTATAACTGCACATGCAGCAGACAAGAGACAAAAGGTATGCCAGGCCAGAGAATAATGCCCTTTACCCAGAGCATACAGCAAGGTGAAGACATGGACTGCTATTATTCTCCAGACACAACCTCAACCAAGTTCCAACCTTTTTCCAATATGTAGCTAAAGAACAACCTGTCAAAAAGAATCAACATCTCCTCCTCCAAGCTTTTATTTTTCATTAATGACAAGGACAGTAAAGTATTGCTAAGTCTTACGAACAGTAAAATCTGACATAAGAGAATTAGGATTATTGGTAATATATTAATAATCATCATCAGCAGCCCAACAATAGAATATGTGTGGAAGAGGGCTATGTTGGCTTAGTATTTAATAAGTGAATGAGTGCTGACTGTGGTAAACCTACAACATACTGTCCGGTAGGTTAATACTGCCCCCTAGTGACTAAATAAAGATTTTTGCAGTGTGGGGTAAAGCATTGTGCCCACGTGCAGGAAGAAAATATGATATCAGGCCAGTGCTCAGGGGACCAGTTGATTCTGCAGGAAACTAACACTTTGAAACATTGAGGAGTAGTATCCATTGCAAGTGATTTCATCATCATTTGAAATAGCTTAAAAACGTTTTGACTTTAATATCACTGTACATCCCTAGTGCCTCCACCTAAAGGGGTCTTGTGGATACAAGAGGTACTCATCCTTAGCAAAATACTAGTCCCCAAGACAGATCACATTTACTTGCCCCTGAAGGAATTAGGTTCACACTTGAAAGTAGTTTTCAATGCTTTTCTTGAACTTAGCAGGTCAGGAGGATCACAGAGGTAGACTACCTAAAACTCAAACAGGGTTCCTTGGCTAGCAGTCACTGAGTGGGTTAGGGTTGCCACCTTTTCTTTAAGCGAAACCCGAACACTCTAGCAACACGCTGACATTTTTGGGGGAGAATGATTTATGGCTTATTTATATGTAAATAGTACCACCCATTCATATGTAAATATCACAGTTGAGAGTATTTTCAGTGGTGGGGGCGGTAGCCCCCACCTTAACTTTGGCTGCCCCTGTCTGCCTGACATCTTGTGTCCGGGTTTCTGCTGCCATGAAACCCAGACACAGCATTCAAAACCCAGACTGTCCGGGTGAATCCTGGACAGGTGGTTACCCCCAGAGTGGGTATCAGCATCCACTTCTTTTGGTGGATATCTGCCACAAAACGAAAGGTTTAAATGTAGCTCTGCTCCAGTAATGACTCTAGCAGAATGTCTCTTCTTAGGTCTGCCTTCTTAAAGAGAGGGGCAAAACCCTCTAGACCCAGGCTTCAGCTCTGGGTCTAGAGGTATACACTACTATACCTACTCAGAGGAGCAATACCATTCTTCATAACTTTCTGAGATGAGAAAAAGGGGCACCTTCCAGCACAGTGTGTTTAGGCAACGGGCAACAGGCACACCCTTGCCACATTATGCAGAGTGCAGACCATTAAGAAAATGGTTTATTTTTACCTATATTTTTCCTTTATACTGGCTTTTCGAAATAGCGAAAGAGAAGAGAAATGAAGAGATTAAGAGAAATTAATAATAAAGAGATGAAGGTTTAAATTCAGAATAACTCTTTTGGTAGAACAATAGTAAATTTTCATAGATATTTATACATCAGATCAAAAAAGAGGGACCACTGAGGTGGAAAGAGGGACATTGTTCCAAATGAGGGATAGTCCTTTCAAATGAAGGACAGTTTAGAGGTATGGTAATATGTATGTATACAGCTGCATGCTTTACATAGGATGAGTCTGAAGCTTAGCTCATCACTAACTATGCCTGAGGA